TAGAGAGACAGCAATTCCATGATTGGAATTTTCAAAAAAGAAAATGGGGGAATGAAGGGACCTGCTCCCCTTTCGGCCACCATAACAGCCGAACACGTGCTTGCCATAAACCTGCCTTGGTCACTTAGAGGTCAGATGCCTGCCTCGTGACAAGGAACCAATCAGAAGTTAGCTGGTGGTGCTATGCTTTACGACCCTGGGTGTGCTTTACGGACAAGCGCACAGCAATGATGCACAAAGCATAGCAACCTCTCTGGGAGGGCCTATGGGCCATAACAACCAGTTGACCAATCAACACAGGGCAAGCCCTCCAAGCCTGGAGGCACACCAACTAACCGTGAGCCTGTGCGCACCCCTAGACACTCCCCTTATGCTGTCCTATAAGATCTCTTGGGAGACCTGAGGAGCCGTCTTTTCTAGCCATCTGCCATGGCGGGTGGGTGAAAGACCCGAGCTAACATGGGGTTAGCTCGTTAAACTACAATAAAGCCCCATGCAGTTTGCAGCAAGCTCTCGAATCTGCCTGGCGATTGGGGTGACCGAGAATGTGGCCTGGGACTCCGGATACTTGAGTTTTCGGGGGTCTAACAGTGGTACACACCTTTAAACCTAGGACTCTAGAAAGATCTCTGTAAATCCAAGGCCATCCAGAACTCCACAAGAATGAATCACCCTAAAAGACAATTACAGCTCATACCTTCAATCCCAACACTTAGGAGAGTATATAAGGCAGAAGCAAGGTGTCAGAGAGGTGTTCCTTCTCCACCCATACTGAGAAGAGGCAGCAGTTTGAGACTCAGAGAGGAATATCATGTTCATATGTTTGTTGCAACTAGTCTTCATATTTGAATTAAGGAATTTGACTTGTTAGTCATAGACTGAGTTTCTGTCCTTTCTGGTCCCTCTACCATTCAGTCCCAAATGAACACACTGAGGTTCATATTAATTATAAACTGTATGGCCAATGGCTCACTCAGGCTTCTTGCTGGCTACTTCCCTCTTAATTATTAACCCATTTCTACTAATCTAAGTATTTCGATGTGGTCTCGGCTTACCAGAGAATGTCCGGATATGTTACTCCTTCAGTGGCTATATGGCATCTCTCTGGCAGCTCCTCTCTGCCTCCCTCTTCTCAGAATTCTCATTGTTTGGTAGCCTGGCTACCGGACAATGAGTGTTTTATTCATTAACCAATAAGAGAAACATATATTCACACCATAAGGGCCTCCCCCCCATCTTCTCTTTTCTGTCTCAATAAAAAGGAATGTTTTAACTTTAACATAGTAAAATTATATGTAACAAAAGTTAACAATCAAGAGTTATAGTTATGATATATAGTTTATTAACATTCGGCAAAACTTAAAGAAAATATTCTATCATTTATCCTATCTATGTGACTTTCAAGATTTATATGTAACATACTGTACATACATTTCTAATATTGTTCGAGGTATTGTACCTATACAGCTCACTTTACAATATTATACAAATTTCTAGTCCTTGAAATTTATTATTATCAACTATTAAGATAATAAGAAAATGTAGTTTAGTAAATAGTGAACTGTTACTATCAAACTTGTAGTCACATTAGGTGTGCTTACAAAGTCAAATAGGTATTTTAGAAGGATAGAACTTCTTTAAAACACTTCAGAGATCTATATGGAATTTAACATGTTTTAATAACATAGGTTTTTATGACAATGAGACATGTCTGCTCCTGGCAGCATGCATCATTTGTCAGATAAGTTGATGGACATCAAAGACTCAACATGGAGTTTACTTTCTTTATGGAAAAGGTAAGCTACAGTGCAAGAAAGTGCCCTTGCTTCAACTGTTGACAGTATGCTGTCCAAATTGGACAAACAGGTTATTAAAAAGAGTGACTGTAAACACTTACCAAGACAAAGTAGTCCAGTCCGTCAGATTATCCTAGTTCACAGAAATGTCTGTCCAATATGCTAGGAATACAGGCTGAAGATGGATGCCCTATGTTACAGAGCAATCTTGGGGGACTGTCCAGACAGCAAGCTTTTTCTCTCATTTCTCATAATTTTTGGAAGTCTCTTCCTCACACTTTCTGTTTACTCAGTTAATATTATTTCCTTCTCAGGTCTCTGAGTGAGTTGAAGACTAGGTAGTATACTTATAGTTTTCCTTGTTTACCAGACTGTGGGGGACCAAAATAATTCCACTATGGAATATTGTGAGATCCAGGCTTGGGTTTCACTAAACAGGAACACCAGAACTCCAGCCCACTTTTGTATTGTTAATGCCAGTATGGCTACTATTTACCATGGCCTCAGGGTAATATGACTCCTATTTGCATCTCTGTGGGCATAAGCATCTGAATAGGCCTGCACCTGGGTAGAGGTGCAGAGGTGCAAGTTGTGTGAGTGACTAGGAAGGACACGAGTTAGGGGCAAGGGACCAGAGGAGAGAGAACAAGGAGAGAGATGGTTCCCTCGTGGTCATGACAGGACAGTTAAGAAGCAGAAAAGAATGTCAAATAAACAAGAGACTCTATTTTTACAACACGGAACTATGAGCTCTCTGAAGATGACAAGATGCCTGTGTTTGGTCTTTATCACTGCTGGGTTGCTAGGAGTTTCCAGGTCCACACACCCCCACTCAGGCTGAATCTCATGGGTTGAGGCTGAGACATGCTGGGTCATGACACCAGAATCAGTAAAGAAACTTACTAAAGATTTGTTAAGTGCAATAGGTTTAAAAGACAATAAAGGATGGTTTGATATTGCAAATTAGAATAGAAAGTAAATTAGGTTAAGACTTTGGACTCATCAAGAAAGAATAGATAATGAAGTATTTTCTTTGAATTGCCTAATGCTAATGGACTAAACACTGTTAAAGTACTTAGTTCCTGTATATATTGTAGAGATTTATTGTAATTATTGTATATAGTGTTAGACCCCCGGAAAACTCAAGTATCCGGGGTCCCAGGCCACGACTACAGTCACCCCAATCACCAGGCAGATTCGAGAGCTTGCTGCAAACTGCACTAGGCTTTATTGTAATTTAACGAGCTAACCCCATGTTAGCTCGGGTCTTTCACCCCCCCGCCATGGCAGATGGCTAGAAAAGACGGCTCCTAGGGCCTCCCAAGAGATCTTATAGGACAGCGTAAGGGGAGTGTCTAGGGGTATGAACAGGCTCACGATAGGTGTGCCTCCAGGCTTGGAGACCTTGCCCTGTGTTGATTGGTCAACTGGTTGTTATGGCCATGGGCCCTCCCAGGGTGGTTGCTATACTTTGTGCGTCATTACTGTGCACTTGTCCGTAAAGCACACCCAGGGTCGAAAAGCATAGCGCCACTAGCTAACTTCTGATTGGTTCCTTGTCACGAGGCAGGCATCTGACTTTCTAGTGTCTAGGACAAGGTCATAGAAGCACATGTTCAGCTGTTATGGCTGCCAAAAGGGAAGCTGGTCCCTTCAATAGCTTGTCTTATATTAGTTATTAACTTTTTGAAAAAATTTAGACAAAAAAAGTGGTATATGTGGTGATTTCTTGCTTGTACAAATAAACCACATCTGAGGGTCAGAGAATGGAGCTTGCCACTAAGTAGCCATAGAGGTCCATAGGTCTGTACAGATAGACAGGAAATGAGGTAGCTGGTCAGAAACAGGATATAAGCAGGCAGAAACAAGAACTTGCATGCTTGTATGCTGAGACAATAAGGAGGTATGGTGTGGTGGTGGTTTGCTCATTCTTTCTGATCTATAAGCATTTTCCTCTATATCTGACTCCAGGTTTTTATTACTTACACATATTAAGAACTCAATTTATACTTAACATCCAAGCATGTTATTTATGATTAAAGAAAAACTACTGTCATTTCATTAATTCTATATCTTGTTTGAGCATCAATTGTTCTTTCTTCTTTTTTATTATTCGTTTTTATGAATTGTGGTTTTCTCATTGTTGAGTTACCTTGTAAAAGCACAATAGAATGAAATATTTGGATATATCTATAAGGGAATTTCTAGAAAGAATTAACTTCTCAGTTCTCCATGTTGTGAGGGTATCCCTGGACATATTCCCATCACATAAACCACTATAGACCTTGCTTGCAATGATGGATACTACCCTT